CGGTCCCTCCCTCCGCCTTTCCGTCTGCCCTTCGCGCTGACCTCCGTGTCTCCACTGCCGCCCCGTGTGCCTGTGCCGCCCGGTGCATTTCCCCCCGGTCCGGCCGGGCTCCAGCCTCCTTCATGTACAATGTCAGCCGCATTGTCATTCCGTACTCGGTTTTCTTCCTCCTCATGCCCGGGACAACGATCTGGACCGCGCGCGCGCTGACCGCCTCCTCTCGAGACACCGCGCGCAGCATGCGGGCCCTGCTCGAGGCGCCGGCCGCCCTTGTTGAGGAGCACCCCTCAAAGGAGGCGGAGGCGGGCCCGGCCCATGGGAGCCCCCTGCAGATGGATCTCGGGGCCGGGCTGGCGGCCGAAGACCCGGCCGTCGACACCGCCGCCGTTGATGCCTCGGCCGCCATTTCCGCCCTCGAGGCGGCCTCCGACATGGGCTCTGTCCTGGCCAGCACCACGGCCACTTCCGTCACTTCGAGTCCCATCGCCGAGTGGATCGCGGCACGGGGCGGCATCGAGGCCCTCTTCCGTGCGCCGAATGCCCACCTCCGCCGGCTGGAGTCCCGGCTCCAGGAGTGGAATGTGTCTTCGGCGGCGGGCGCCTCTGCGGCTCGTGACCAGTCCAAGTAGGCATGTGAGCCCGGAGAACGCCATTCCGCAAGAATATCATAACTCGCCGATCGCCGATGTGCCGGGGTTTCCCGGGCCCCAGGGTTTTGTGTCACATGTTCCTGCCGTCTGATATCGCGGGGATGTGGTTTGTCCGCAGGCTGGTCCCCCTTCCCCCCCCGCCCAGGTCTCGGTTAGCTGGGGCGGGGGGGGGCACAGGACGCGGTCCCGGTTGTGGTGGTGGTGGTGTGTGCGGTGTGGCGCGAGTGCAACAGGGTGTGGCGGGGGCGGGTAGACGCACGCCTCGGGGCAAGATCGTAAGTGTGTGTCCGGCACTCAGCCGGCTATTCTCCGTGACGGGTGCGCCCGCAAGCCACCAGGGAGGGGGGGACATGTTGACTGGGCTGCGTGGGCCGGGCCGCAAAG